GACAGAAAAGACACACAGACAAACAGCCAGAAGCAGACAGAGGCAAAGAGAGAGAAAGAGAAAGAGGTAGAGAGAGAAAGAGTGCAGGAACCAAAACCATCCATAAAAATAATTTGACCTGTAAATCCCATTTGACAAGAACTTGAAGAAATATTGAAATAATAGATCATTTGATGCATAACACCAGGAACAGGTTAAAGTTACAAACAACTATAAACTCTCCTGTACCTTGTCAGGTTTTCACCAAAGGTAGGAGCTGCTGCCTCAGGAGACTCTGATTCAGCGTAGACATTGTTGTAGGCCATCGGCAACGGATAAAAATCAGATCCTATTGAGATGAGGTCGTCAACAAAAGCTTCTGATACCTTATTCATGACAAACTGCAGGGAGAAATAACAAACCAATTAGCTTAATTAAACTCATTATATATATACTTAAAATTTCTGGACAAATATTCAGTATCTGCTGTCAGAATTCATTTCTAATTTTCAACTGCTCAGTCTTACATCACAAGCCTCATTGTTCATTAAGACTAGGATGATACCTTATTTTGAATAATTTTTATGAGGCAGGTAAAGACCACTGACTGAGGATACCTTAATTCAACTTTTTAGCTACAAATATTTTACTAGCTCTAAAAGCAAATGATGCAAATAGAAAAACATAACTTTATCAACTCTAAAATTAAATAGGAACAGTATCAACTCTGATAATTAACATTTTAATAAAATATATATTCACATATAGATACTGTATGCATATGTATAATTAAGTATACACACACACACTCACACAGACATGCACATGCAAACAGACTAACTCTTGCTCTCACTAACTCACAAACTAACAAGCACACACTCATACATACACACACACACACACACCACACACACACACACACCACACACACACACACACACACACACACACACACACACACACACACACACACACACACACACACACACACACACACACACACACACACACACACACACACACACACACACACACACACACACACACACCACACACACACACACACACACACACACACACACACACAAATATTTCAAGTAATCCAGACGCTGTATACAAAGATATAAGGAATATGTACAAAAACACACACATCATTCTGTACACAAATGGATATGCACACAGATCAGCATTTCCATTTACATAAATACTAAACCAAGAACTAAGCCTTACCTCGGTAGTGGTGCCGTCGGATAGAGTAAATGTCGTGACCTGTGTTGTGATGGAACTGTTATAATCATCCACATCGTTATTGGTGTCTTCCTCAATATCGTTCTCTGTTGTTGATGAACTTGCGCGGTAGATTGTCTGGTACGAGTGTTTCTTCCTTGAATTAAAGACTGAAAAAGTAAAAAAGAAAAAATGGCACAATAATTATTCAGCCCTCATACCTTCACTCAGCATCCTTCCTCCATTCTTGTCTCCTACTATTTCTCTGATTTATTTCTATGTGCCCTTTCTCTTTTTCTCTTTTTCTCTCTTCCTCTCTCTCTCTCTCTCTCTCTCTCTCTCTCTCTCTCTCTCTCTCTCTCTCTCTCTCTCTCTCTCTCTCTCTCTCTCTCTCTCTCTCTCTCTCTCTCTCTCTCACTTCTCCTACCCTTTCTCTGTTTTATTTCTATGTTCCTTTTCTCTTTTTCTCTTTCCCCTCTCCCTCTCTGTGCTGTGTAACTGGCCCGCAGCAGTAGCGTGTTGGACGTAGCAATCTTGCAATCTGCATTTCAAACCACACCCGCAAACGGAAGAAGGCCAAAGATCGAATAATAAAGTAAACGTCCCACGTGCAACCAGTATCCTATGCACACCCGCAAGGTCCGCGAAGAATTTGCAGCCAGACCACACATAATATAACAAGCGACCGTAATTGATGTAATCATACCAAGTCAATAGAGATATCCGATGTGTGAACAAAAAGAATAAGGAGAATCAAGAAGCTAAATGCGTTAACCATACTATTTCCAAAATCCTAAATGCTCGTCTTTTCCACTTCCATCAATCACACTCTCTTATCACTCTATAAAGCAATTTGCTAGCCGGAGTACTGTCCAGACGTCGCCTAACTGAGCGCTCAGCTAATATAATAATCGAACACTTACACCTGCCCTTAGACAGTATTACTGCTCAGTAGCTCCTCACGTGCGTCAGACCTCCATGCATCGCAACACCTGCACGAATCTTACACTACATGCTCAACCTACCACTCATCGAGTATGTGTAGAACTATGCACTCAATCTCTCACGAATCTAACATCCACTCTCTCTAAACTCTCCTCGACAGCAGGCATCTCTTCTACTGAGCTACGTCAGGCAACCGTCAAATCATCTCACTCAATGCACTGAACACTCAAACAGCTAACCGTCAACGGACATCCATGGGGGAATGCTACCTCTACCCACTCATTCACGCTCACTCGACCTCCTCAAACTCACTTCCAAGGCGTATCATCCACTCACTCACCTCTCTGCTGCCTTTTCTTCTCACACATCAGCAACAGCCCACCGAAATCTGACACAATACACTATGCCTCTCTCGTTAATAAATACGTGTCCACCTCTTTCATTCGCACAGAACGTATAGCGTCAGCGTCCACCACGCTCTCCCTTTACACGATCCCAATCAGTACTAACAACTCCGACCGTCAGCTCTACACTCTCTAGCCCTACGAAGCACTACGATTGTTCAATCCCCCTTTAATCCGCTTACACTCCTTGCCCTCCCTTCTTTCCTTCGTCCCGCTCAGAGCGCTCCGATGACCCATGCTCTCCCACTACCCACTCCTCCCCCCTCTCCTATACTACAACTCACTTCTTCCTCCTTCTCCTTCTCATTTAGCATACACCCCTCTTCTATCTCCCTCTCCCCTGTCCCTTGTACCCTCTCCCTCTCTCCTCTCATAATTCTCTTTCTCCTTTCCTTCTCCTCTCTCCTTTGCTCCTTCATCCTCTCTCCTCTCCTTCTCCGTCTCCTTCTCACTCTACAACTTCTCTCTTCTCCTCCCTATCTCCTATCTCCTTCTCCTTCTCCTGCATCCTATCTGTCTACTCCGCTCCCTATCCCTTCTCCTTCGTGCGCTTCTATCCCTGCATCCTTTCTCCTTCTTCTCCTTCTCCTTCTTCCTTCTCCTTCTCCCTTCTCCTCGTCTTCATTTCTCCTTCTTCTTCTTCCTCTTCTCCCATCTCATTTCTTCCTCCTTCTCCTTCCCTTACTCACCTTCTCCATCCATCTTATGACTCCGGCATCCTTGCCTAACAACTTTCTTGCCTTCTACCTTCTCCTCTCCTCTCCTTCTTCTCCTTTCCTTCTCTGATCTCCTTATCTCTCTCCTCCTCTCCTTCTTCTTCCTTCTTCTTTCTTGTCTATCTAACTGTCTTATTCTCCTCTCATTCTCTTCCCACTTCCTCTCTGTCTATCTATCTGCTGATGCTTACTCCTCAATCCCTCTTCATGGTTCCCGCTTCTCCTTATCTCACTTTCCCCTCTTCCTCCATTATACTCTTAGCCTCTCTTCTCTCTCTTATCTCTCTTCAATCCTCATGTGTTTCTCACCTTATTTCTCTCCTATTCTCCTCTTCTTCCCATACCCAAGTCTCCGTGTCTCTCGTTCTTCACTCTCTCTTTCTCCTTCTTCCTTCTCCTTTCCTATCTCCTTCCTTTCTCTTTCTCTTTCTCTTTCTCTCCCTTCTCTCTCTCTTCCTCCGTCTCTTCTCCTTCTTTCTCCTCTTCTCCTTCTTCTCCTTCTTCTCCTTCTTCTCCTTCTTCTCCTTCTTCTCCTTCTCTCCTTCTTCTCCTTCTTCTCCTTCTTCTCCTCTTCTCTTCTCTTCTTTCTTTCTCTTCTCTTCTCCTTCTTCTCCTTCTTCTCCTTCTTCTCCTTCTTCTCCTTCTTCTCCTTCTTCTCCTTCTTCTCCTTCTTCTCCTTCTTCTCCTTCTTCTCCTCTTCTCCTTCTTCTTCCTTCTTCTTTCTTCTCCTTTCTTCTCCTTCTTCTCCTTCTTCTCCTTCTTCCTCCTTCTTCTCCTTCTCTCCTTCTTCTCTTCTTCTCCTTCTTTCTCCTTCTTCTCCTTCTTCTCCTTCTTCTCCTTCTTCTCCTTCTTCTCTTTCTTCTCCTTCTTCTCCTTCTTCTCCTTCTTCTCCTTCTTCTCCTTCTTTCTCTTCTTCTCCTTCTTCTCCTCTCTCCTTCTTCTCCTTCTTCTCTTCTTCTCCTTCTTTCTCCTTCTTCTCCTTCTTCTCTCTTCTTCTCCTTCTTCTCCTTTCTCCTCCTCCTCCTCCTCCTCCTCCTCCTTCTCTTCTTCTCTTCTTCTCCTTCTTCTCCTTCTCCTCCTCCTCCTTCTTCTCCTCTCCTCTCCTCCTTCTCTCCTCTCCTCCTCCTCCTTCTCTCCTTCTCCTCCTCTCCTTCTTCTCCTTCTCCTCCTCCTTCCTTCTTCTCCTTCTCTCCTCCTCCTTCTCTCCTTCTTCTCCTCCCTCTCTCTCCTCTTCTCCTCTCCTCCTCCTTCTTCTCTTCTCTCTTTCTCCTGCCTTTCTCCCTCCTCTCCTCCTCTCCTTCCTCTCCTTCTCTCCTTCTTCTCCTTCTTTCTTCTCCTTCCCCTTCTTCTCCTTCCCCTTCTTCTCCTTCCCCTTCTTCTCCTCCCTTCTTCTTCCTTCTCTCCTTCCCTTCCTCTCTTCTCCTTGTTCTCTTTCTTCTTGTCCTTCTCCTTCTCCATGTTCTCTTTCTTTTTCTCCTTCTCCTTCTCCTTCTCTTCCTTTTCCTTTTCCTTCTCCTTCTTCTTTTCCTTCTCCTTCTCCTGCTTCTCCTTCTCTTTCTTTTCCTTCTCCTTTTCCTTCTCCTTTTCCTTCTCCTTCTCCTTCCCTTCCCCTTTCTCTCCTTCTCTCCTCCTTCTCCCTTCTCCTTCCTCCTATCTTTCTCCCCCTCCTTCTTCTCTTTCTCTTTCTCTTTCTCCTTTTCTTTCTCCTTCTCCCTCTCTCTCCCCTCTTTCTCTCCTTCTCCCTCTCCCTCTCCCTCATTCTTTCTTATACTTCCTCCCTTCCTTGCAGAGTACTTGCCTTGGTATAGAATTTGGTTCACATCTCGCATGATGGCTTGTGGCTGTCGTCTTGCTTGAGGATCTCGAGACCAACACCTCTCCATGACCTAACGCAGGAAGGTAAAAACAAACCATGATAAATTCCTGGTGTATGGACATGACCGAAAACAGAGGTTATAAAAGAATAAATGCACAAGGATAATTTACAGAGGTTTTTACTTTTACTTCTGACTGGTAAGGACACCATAAAAAAATAAACATGATAATCTTGATAATGGCAACTACACAAAGGACAGCTATTCATACATTTAACATAATCATGATAGTCAGAAATATTGTTTTCACTTATTGCCTGTGAAAAAACACAAAAAGATTAAAGACTATCATATGGGTAAAAAAAAACAAAATAAATATTTCTTGGATATATAATAATAGGCAATAAAATTTACTTCCTTGTATAACAATTTTATAACCACCTTTGCTCTATGTCAATGTGTGATACCTTAATTGCACAAATGATCCCACAAACATAACCTACCATATTATCCTTCTAATCCTGTATTAATCCTGTATTAAAATTCTCGTCCCACTAAAAACCTTAGCAGCTACAGTAATCATATATTATCCCAACCCTGTTATACATCACACTGCTAGTTATGTAGGCAACCTTACAAACAAAAAATAATAAATATATAAATCTATCCTGGAAATTAAATCTTGACATAATGACCGTCCTTAAGGTATACAACACATACCCACAAAAAATAACAAATAAACACAATAACCAACAACCAACCTTATACAAGTCAAGTGGACAGAGATCCGGCCGTGGCAACAAACGTCCCATTTCATAAAGCTTACGAACCTCTTCCAGGTCAGCACCTTTGGAAAAAAAAAAATTAAAACATTACAAAAGCTACATACTTGTTCAAGTGAAATCCATGGACCTAGGCATGGACATGGGAGCGGGAGAGGGTGTGGGAATGGACATCAGCATGGCATGAACATGGGTGTGAGCATGGGAGTGCATATGTTTGTGGGCATGGGCATGGACATGGGTGTGGGCATAGGTGTATACATAGCTGGGTATAGGTGTGGGTGTGGGCATTGGCGTGGGCAAGGACATGGACATGGGTGTAGGCAATGGTGTGAGCATGACTGTGAGCATGGGCATAGGTGTGGATGTGGATATGGGTATTGGCATAGAAGCAGTATGGATGTGTGCTTGAGTGTATGCTTGGGCATGGGTATGGGTGAGGGCATGGACATGCATGTGGGCATAAGTCTGGGCAAAGGCATGGGTATGGGTGAGGGCATGGACATGCATGTGGGCATAAATAAGTCTGGGCAAAGGCATGGGTATGGGTAAGGCTATGGGCATGGGTATGAGTGTGGGTAAAGGTATGGGCATGGGTGTGGGTAAGGGTATGGGCATAGGTGTGAGTAAGGTCATGGGTGTGGCTAAGGTCATAAATGAGTGTGGGAGTGGACATCTGTGTAGTGTAGGTACATGACACAATTTTACCTTACATAAAGTATATGCACGTATAAATAACAACAATTCTTACCTGGTAATGGCTCTTTCCCCATGGAAAATATCTGCCATAGGGTTGTGCTAAAAGCCCATATGTCAGTAGTAACATCATTGACTGCCATTGCTGGATGAGCGTGATGTTCTCTTGGTATCCAGTGAATATCTTTCTCAGTGCATCTGACCATTCCCGGATCACCAAGTTTGACCTAAATTTTAAAAAAAGGCAATTGTGCATTTGACTCTTCTTAGATCATGATCTTACTCCACTAGAAAAACAAAGGGGCATAAATAACCTCTGAATCAAAAAATCATAATCTCTGGATAAAAAAAAAAAAGACTTCATACTCAACTATTTCACCAACAGATTTAACTCCTAGCCGATGGGTGGCATGCCATGGCTGTTGTGGATTGAAAGGCGGGTGGCATCGTGTCATGCCCATTCCCGCGCCACTGGCTCGTCGGACGGAGTTTGTTTTTCTCTGATAGTAGCGGCTTCATTTATATGGTAAAGATTTTAGGCAATGGCACCTATAATAAAGGTAAACCTTAAAAATTTTAATATTTTTATAAATTATAGCAAAATCAAAGCTTTTAGGTGCTAAATGTCGCTTGCAAACTTCCGATCGAGCCGGGCACAAACAGGGGAAACTGCCGATGCGCACCAACAATCCTGTCCATACGTCCACTTGCCAAACATTTTTACCCATCGGCATTGGGTTAATCTGATTCCTTACTACCAATATTAATTCATCTATCCTTTAATTTTCCTCTCAAAAACAGGTCAAAGGTCATGTATGTGTGTACTCAGACATCAATGAACTTACTGCATTAAAGTATTTCAAGCTATAAATCTATACCTTTTCTCTACTGTCTACTAAAATTTTCATCTTAATAACTAACAAACCTTGAAAGTTTGATCTGTGTGTTCTGCCACCAAAATGTTGTGACAACGAATGTTGTTATGCTGAACACCCTCTTGGTTCAGGTACCAAAGTGCTCGTGCCAAGTGTGTTGCTGCTTCCACAAGCTCAACCTGACAGAGTGAGAAAGAAACAAGAGACAAGGTATGTATTGTATCTGAAAAGAGATATATAACTAAAGAAATATCTAATACATATATATACATGAATAAACATATATAAAATATATATGTATACATGTATATAAGTGTATATGTATATATGTGTAAATGCATATATGTGCATATGTATATAAGTATATATGTATATGTATATATGTATATATGTATATAAGTATATATGTATATGTATATATATGTGTGTATATATATATATATATATATATAATATATATATATATATATATATATATTATATATATATATATTATGTATATATATGTATATATATGTAATATGTGTATATATATATAAATATAAATATATATATATATATATATATATATTATATATATTATATATTATATATGTGTGTGTGTATATATGTGTATATATACGTATATATGTATATATATATGTATATATATATATATATGTATATAGATGTATATGTATTTATGTATATATATATATATATATATATATATATATATATATATATATATATATATATATATATATATTATATATATATATATATATATATATATAAAATGTATATTTGTATATTTGTATATTTGTATATTTGTATATTTGTATATTTGTATATATGTATATATGTATGTGTGTGCATGTATGTATGTGTGATAGAGACATAAAGAGAGATTCACTCATACACAGCTATATATTACTATATTACATTACTATATCATAATCACAATACATTCATCCTGTACATGTATAGTAAAACATTTCTATTGATTCAAACAACCATAACATATCAACACCTACCTCTTCAATGCTCTTATTTTGCTGAAGATATGAACTGAGGTCTCCTAATGGGAAGAATTCCATGACTAGCGACAGAGGGTTTAGCGTTACTCCGAAGATGTGGACAATGCATTCACAATTAACAAAGGCAAACTTGTTTATCACAGCTAAAAATGATTCCTTCTCAGACTCATTCTGGAGTATGGGAATCTGGAAATGGACATGTGCAATATCAGCCTATGGTAGTAAATACACCAAACAATACATAAATTCTCATATAAATAACAGCTGTGGTAACTTACATGTATTGAAGTGAAGCAGATTGGAATGAAGTGGAGGGTAGGGAAGGGAAAGGAAGCGAAGAGAAGAGAAGGGAAAGGAACAGAGGGGAAGGAAAAGGAAGGGAAGGGAAGGGAAAGGAAGGGAAAGGAAGGGAAGGGAGGAAGGGGGGAAGGGAGGGAAGGGAAGGGAAGGGAAGGGAAGGGAAGGGAAAGGAAGGAAAGGGGATGGAAGGGAAGGGAAGGAAAGGAAGGGTAGGGAAGGGAAAGGGAAGGGAAGGAAGGGAAGGGAAGGGAAGGGAAGGGAAGGGAAGGGAAGGGAAGGGAAGGGAAGGGAAGGGAAAAGGAAGGAAGGGAAGGGAAGGAAGGGAAGGGAAGGGAAGGGAAGGGAAGGGAAGGGAAGGGAAGGGAAGGGAAAGGAAGGGAAGGAAGGGAAGGGAAGGAAAGGAAGGGAAGGGAAGGGAAGGGAAAGGAAGGGAAAGGAAGCAAAGAGAAGGGAAAGGAAGAGAAAGGAAGAGAAAGGAAGGGAATGGAAAGGAAGCGAAGAGAAGGGAAAGGAAGGAAAAGGAAGGGAAAGGAAGGGAAGGGAAGGGGGGGGGAAGGGAAGGAAGGGAAGGAAGGGAAGGGAAGGGAAGGAAGGGAAAGGGAAGGGAAGGGAAGGGAAGGGAAGGGAAAGGAAGGGAAGGGAGGGAAGGAAAGGAAGGGAAAAGGAAGGAAGGAAGGGAAGGGAAAGGAACAGAGGGGAAGGAAAAGGAAGGGAAGGGAAGGGAAGGAAGGAAAAGGAAGGGAAGGAAGGGAAGGGAAGGGAAGGGAAGGAGGAAGGGAAGGAAGGGAAGGGAAGGGGAAGGGGAAGGGGAAGGGAGGGAAGGGAAGGAAGGGAAGGAAAGGAAGGAAGGGAGGGAAGGGAAGGGAAGGGAAGGGAAAGGAAGGGAAGGGAAGGGAAGGGAAGGGAAGGAAGGGAAGGAAGGGAAGGGAAGGGAAGGGAAGGGAAGGAAGGGAAGGGAAGGGAAGGGAGGGAAGGGAAGGAAGGGAAGGGAAAAAGGAAGAAAGGAAGGGAAAAGGAAGGGAAGGGAAGGGAAAGGAAGGGAAGGGAAAGGAAGGAAAGAGAAGGAAAGGAAGGAAAAGGAAGGGAAAGGAAGGGAAAGGAAAGAAAGGAAGGAAGGAAGGGAAGGGAAGGAAGGAAGGGAAGGAAGGGAAGGAAGGAAGGAAGGGAAGGGGAAGGGAGGAAGGGAAGGGAAGGGAAGGAAGGGAAGGAAGGAAGAAGAAGGGAAGGGAAAGGAACAGAGGGG